GCTTCAATTTTACATGAAACTTCTTTTTTTTAGGACGGGCCTCAATCCTATAAAACGTAATATCGTACGTGAAAATGTTAACCTACCATTGAAATAGATTAGTAAGGAAGAAACATACTTTTCGTAATTCCGGGGTGATGCCGCTGCCCTTAAAGTTCAAAATATTATTTATTATCTGTCGTTTGGTACTATGTTTTCCTCCAAGTGCCCGAATGCGTGAGGTGTACTTTGCGTAACGCCAAATGCTTTTCCCATTGAGAAAATATGAAATATATTTAACTTGCTGCAAATAACGATATCTTTACCTACAAAAATTAATGTGTCATTCTATAGGCATTTGCCGGCATTTTTGGACCTTTACTAGGTATTTATTAATTTTAAATTAAAAAAATCTTCATTGGATTTCGAAGGGTAAAGAAGAAGGCATTAGGGTATCCAAATTTTTATAAGACTAAATCATTTTTTGAAACACGTTTTCATTAAAAAACCAGGGTTGAAAAACCGCTTCGCGGCTTTTCAAACCTGTCCCCGTCTAGGGCCTACCAAAGTATTGACTTTGCATATTTACCGAAAACTGATCACCGAAAACTGAAAAGCGCGCCCTCTCTTCGTTTTTATAAGCCATTTCCACTTCCGGCGTATGCTAATTGCTTCCTAACAAAGAGGTTGGGTGAAAATTTTACAAAAATCTGGTTTTAATATCGAAAATAGCAATTTTTCAAAACTTGTATGTGTGTGCAGTCGATTCGGGACCCTTCTTTACCTATTCACGCTTCTTCCCTATCGAAAAAAGTCTTCCGTGAGGCTGTAGGTGCGGAACATCCAAACGGAAGTGCATGCAAATATACACACACACAGACACTATTTTTTTATATATAGTAGGATATACGATTAATTTAGAACCAGGGTTGAAAAACCGCTTCGCGGCTTTTCAACCCTGGCCCCGTCTAGGGTCGATGAAATATTGACTTTGCATAATTCTTGCCGAAAACTGCTCACCAAAAATGAAAAGCGCGCCCTCTCTTCCTTTTTATAAACCATTTCCACTTCCGGCGTATGCTAATTGCTTCCTAACAAAGAGGTTGGCCGAAAACTTTACAAAAACCTAATTTTAATATCGAAAATAGCAATTTTTCAAAACTTGTATGTGTGTGCAGTCGATTCCAGGCCCTTCTTTACCTAATGACGTTTCTTCCCGCCCTAAAAACCGCTTCCCTGAGGCTGTAGGTGCGGAACATCCAAACGGAAGTCCATGCAAATATACACACACACACACAAACACTATTTTTTTATATATAGTAGGATATTTTTGGGACCTGATTTTCCGTTTTAAACTAGAAATTAAATTTTAAGCAACTGCCAAATCCTATTTAAAATTATTTATAATAGCTAGAAGGATTGAGAATAAAATAAGAAGTGGAAACTATGATTTTTAACATTTTTAGGTAGATAATGCTAAGGAAAGCATATAATAAGATCACTCCTTCGCCGACAAACAAAAATTTTCGAAACACCTTTTTGCAAAATTTTTTTCGGGGGTGTCACGGTAGATTTCATTCTATTTAAATTTTCGCACTACTTTTATTGAATCAAAACGAAATTTAAAATTGGTCTTTAAACCCATAAAATTGAATATTCAAATTAGCGCTGCTATTCATTTTTTGCAACCCACAATTCGAGTTCGGTCCCTGGAAAAAGCACTCTAGTTTTGCAGATAAGCCGGGGCATCGGGCCAAGCCCGGCTCCAGGAGCTGCGAAAAAACGGGTTGCCTCATCAGCTTCAGGACAACACCCCAAAAAAACCAAGGGGGAAAAGCGGCTTTTCGTGAAAAACATTCGGAAAGGTACAGAGTCCCGCGATCGCTTGGACCGGCTTGTTTTTGGCCGGTTTCAGGTACTATTATTTTGGTCACCGAAATTTGTGCAAATAATAATAATTGTAAAAACAAATATCTGAAAGTTTTGAAGAGATTTTAAAGGGAAATTGAAGCCAAAAAAGCAGGAAACTTTGCAAAATGAGTCCATCTCGGAGATTTTAAGCGACTGTTTTAAAAGCATGTTGTTTAAGCTGCTAGATATAAGCTGCACCCGTACAAAAGCAGATTGATGTTGCTCGCTTCGACGCAGGCCGTATCCCGTTTAAAACATTGTTTTCTTCCGATGAATCCGATCGTTGATAGCGTATTTTATAATTTTCGACAAGCATTTTAAAACTTGATAGAGCGGAAACGCTAGCTTTCAAGAGAGATTTTTATGATTAACAAGGTCATTTTACGATCAAAAGATCGGCTACAGAGCTAAATTGGCGTAAGAAACGCATTATAAATCAAACTTTTCACTCATTGTTACGATTTTAGGAAACATAATTTTGTAAACATAATTTTTTCAGTGTTCACAAGATTTTATAAACTTTGCCAATGAAGATATTTCGCAGTTACCGTGCCTTTGAGACAAAGACGATTATTCTGTCCAAAATTATTCGAGCCCAACGTCGGTAACGATTTTATTGCGCCCAAACTGTTTTCGAGCCCAATGAGTCCGCAGCATTGCCGATCCTCGACTCGACGAAAATCCTGCTTTCCATAAAACATATCTTTTTTTAAATGGTCTAATTCTTCCAACAATTCAATTTGATCGCTGTATCTATCGTAGAGTTGCGAAAATTACAGTAGGTTTTCCGCTGCGATATTCTAGAAGTTTTCCCAATAAACATTGTCTTGCATGCTTCTGCTGCGTCCGGATTTTGGCTAAATCCTGCTTTTTTATTCTCATTCGTTCTCGTTTATATTCGGTGTTTTTGTTGAACAATTGCTTTTTCTCAGAAAAATATTTTGAAAAAGATCGTGGATTTGTGAAATTGTTTCCAATATTATATTCTAAGATTTGGCTGCAATACCGTAAGCTCAATAACGTGCCGATTTATAGCAAAGGTTTTCAAAACAATATTTCTGAAATTTATCCTCAAACGTGAAGCACATTGGTCTTCCCTGCCTCGACCAAACGCATAATTGCAGCAAAACATCCATTTTTCTGGCCGTTGGTCAGTCGAATCCGGCCAATCTGGCGGATTTCTCTGGATTAACGTTTCTCGCCAGCCGGGGATTACGGTATTTTTGGTCGTTGGACGGTGAATGACCAAGGGCCAAATTCGCCGAAAAAGGGAAGTTGGCGGGAAAATTGGGAAATCCGGTAGAGGGAAACCTGGAAAAACAACCTTAAGCCTGCCTTCCGGTCTCACTAAAATGTTTTAAAAAGAAATGTTTTCCGGGATAGCGTGTTTCCGGGAATTTTGGATACGGTAATTGTGTCGTGGAGGTATTTGGATTGGGCCGTCTTTTAAAGGACCCGTAAAGTCGTCCGAATTTAGCGAATTTACATACCTTTTGGAGATAGTAAGCAAGACTTTTAAAATCTTTTTGATTTTTGGAAAATAAAAGATATATCTTTCCTCTTAAATTGTTATAAAACCGGTCGCTGCTCATGGCATTTTGGTACACTTGTTCACGCAAACGTAAAAGGTGGGTTTTTCGAAAACAAAATGGATTTTCGCGTGCAACAACATCGAAAATCGGGCAAAAAATTTGAGAATTTCGAAAATCGGTGGGAACCTGGTTGTGGAGAGCTTTCGATAGATACGAACCGCAAAAATGACCTAACGTAGTGGTGCACAAATCTGGTCTGTTAATGCCGTAACATCCGATGTCTTTTTGTTAAACATTCTTGAAACACAACTTTTTATTCTCTATCAATCATGATCATCATTTGGCATGCAACAACAAGCAAAGCTGCAAAAAAGCACAAAATGGTTGTACGTATATCTCAGGGGGAAATAGCACTCAACAAAGCAGCGGGGGAGGAAGACACTAAATATAGGTAATTGAAGGTATGTTTAAAGGGGCTGGGACAAGGGTGAATGGGATACAAAGTACAATATAAACCCGTAAAGGCGTGGCTGCGAAAAAATGCAAATTAAATTAAAATTGCATGAGTTTCTGGTCAGCCGAGATTGACACATTTGGCGTAATGTACAGAAAAAAAGATGGGATGTGGGGATTTTGAGTGGGAAAAGCGGGGGTTTCGGTATTAATTACAGTAATCCTTAGATTAATTTAAATACCAGGAAAATGCGATTTGCAATTAAAACTTCCTGGAATTGTCGACCAAATCTTTTTTGATTAAGTACTGTTTTCGAAACATTTTTTTGGAAAAATTTTCAAGACGCTTTTTCTCTTATTAAGCTCAGCGCTTTTAATTAAAATAATTAGCATAGAATTTCCCTCGCTGCTTTGGCTATGAAAACCGGAAAAGACAACCCCGATCCCGGCTTTTCCCCTCCTTGTTGATTCGGATCCACGAGGCGGGGGTTGCCCCGGGCCGATTTGGAACTCAAAAATATGTAGGGCAATTTCGGAGCGAGAGAGCGAGCGAGAGAGAGAGAGAGAGAGAGAGAGAGAGAGAGAGAGAGCCGGTGGCGGGTACGGAAAAGCCGGCAAAAAATCGGCGGGAAATGGACATTGGGCGGAACTGGATTTTAAGGAAGAGTTGCAGGGAGGAGGCTGAGGAAAAGCCGGTAGTTTTCAGGTCGACACGGCCGGAAAGAGAGAGAAAAGAAAGCATGTTTTAAAGCGGATAGATAGATATGTGGGGCATGATTAAGCGGGCTTGAGCGATTTTTGGCTGGTTAGCCGCGTAAATTATCCCGGTAAAGCCACCTTTTTAGTGCACCTGGTTTGAAACATCAATTTTCAAAAATTCCTATTTGAAACTAAATCGGAAGTTTCAAATTTGATTGTTAGAATTAATAGAGATCGGCTACTTCAACCATTAAAATGTTTAAATTCAATTTTTCGAAAGTATGTTTTAAAAATATGCAACTTTCAGCCCAAAAATCGCCCTTTTAATTGGAGTCCGTAGCATAACGGCGTTTTGACATAAATTGTAAATTGGCCACGAGTCCCCTGGGGGTTTCGAAAAATCGACGATCAGAAGCTGCTCAATCAGAAGTTGAAGACGTCATAGCGGTGTTTGTCGGAGAGGTGCACTTTTTTGCCGGGGCCCTCCGGCTTTTCGGCATTTTCTGGCCGTGCGGGCTGTTGCTCATCCCGGATCTCGTCCTCCATCTCGGCCAGATAGTCGGACTTTGTGCGGCGAGCGGATGCGGCCTGCAATGGAATAATAAGAGAAATTAGGAGACAAATATGTGCTAAAATAGCTTTTATTACATTCTTGAATCGATTCAAGGGCCTATTAGCATTTCTATAATTTTCCTATTTTTAAGAATTTTTGAAACAGGCTTGTCTAAAAAAGATTGCAAAACCCGCCACAAACCGCCGTCATATTGACGGTTCAACATTTTTAAGAGTTTCAAGATTTTTCGAAACATGATTTTCTAGGTAAGAGGTCCAAAACATTGAATTTTTATTTTAAAAAATCAACGTCTAGGATATAGAAAAACTCTTCGGATACCGTACCTCAAGCGCCTTCTCCGCCTCACGCACCTGGCAGCAGTAGCTTCGGATTTCGGAGATTGTGCACTGGCCGGCGCAACACCGCATCACAATGTTGCCGTCTGCAAACCCGTGGAAATGATATGTTTCGAATCATTATACAGGGTGCGACAGATTCTTAGTCGCAATTCGCCCTCCTATTTCTTTCGAAACAAGTACAAAATATAAAACAATATTTTCAGGCTATAGACAACGCTAAAATTCTAAAATAATCTATTTTTGAAGCTGGGAATAAAATTCAAGGGGATTCAGAAGGACAAAATTGCTGATTTTCGACGTTTAAAGGTATTGGCAAGTCCAGATTTTAATGAAAATGGCTTTTTCCGCTTCAATATACACTTAAAGGACCCGGGAAGTCAAATTTCTCGTAGAAAAACCCACCAAAAGGTGCCTGCTCGCTGTCGATGGGGCAATTATCCTCCTGGCTGGCTTCGCAGATTGCCGTGATTGTCGATGCCAATCGCTTGCCACAGAGGTGCACCTTTTTCGAGCCGCTGCCCTGGTGGTGATGGTGGTGATGCCGGGCCGAGACGAGCTCGAGCAGTGCCAAAATGAGCACCGGCAGGCAGAGGGAAATTTGCATGGTTGTGTGGGGGTTTTCTAGCGTCGGGGGTGAAAGGAGTTTGAAAGGCTTCCGGGCGGAATGAGTGGTCGGGATGAGATCTGCAATTTTAGAGTTTTAAAGCTTTTAAAAACGAGTTTCACACAAAATAAAAAAAAACGTAAAAATCGGAAAATTTATTTTTCCGAAGGAAGATCGTGTTTCATAAAAAATAAAAGAGGAAAATCAATGTAGGACGATATTAGAAGTATCGCACAAAATTACCGGGCTGGAAATTTGCAGTGGAAAAAATTGTTATAACGGGGAAATTAAAGTAAACGTATCGAGTTGATGCATTGACAGACTGGAATATTTTCCCAATGATAAGCACAGCTGAATTAAACGCTGAGAAGTCTAGCAAGTCGTTAATTTTTTGAAACCTGAATTTCTAACGATACCAAATACTGATGGGCTCGAAAAATCGAGACCATTGAAATTTGAATACGAATCTCAATGTCCTCCCTATTCATCTGGGCTCGCGAACAACCGAATTTTTGGAAAAGTATACTTTTTGGCATCGTTTTTGGAAAGTTGACAAAATCAGAGGCAAGAGGACTGTATCAAAATCATCGAAGAGGTTCGGAGACTTCAATAAAAGTTCGCACAAAAACGGAATTTGGAAAATTGGTGAAACATCGGCATTGCGGAAAAATATTCAGACTTCCATTGCCATGGCAAGCTCTAGAGAAGGCGCTTTGCATAGAAGAGGATGCAAAGATATCTAAGGTATCAAAAGTGCAAGAAATCGTTGAACAGAAAATTAGGCCCAAGAGGCAGATGCCCATGGAATTTTTTGAAACAGCGAATTGCGCCGAAAAAATTCGAGAATTTACGAATTACATCATGACTGACGCGCGGATTAGCAGACTTAGATTATGGCAAACATGGTCGTTTTTTAAGGCGTTTAAAAATAGTTACAATATTGGTGTTATTAGTATTAGTTTACCGCGGTTTTTAATACCAAGTGTCCAATATCCGGAATAAAATGCCATCCATATCCGCGAAACTAGGAATCTTGATGAAACATTGGAATTTTCAAAAATTCCGCAGGTTAGTTGGGAAAGCAGCCTTGGGAGGAATGGCTGGGAATAAGGGCCGGCATTCCCCTATATATACCCCCCGCCCATCCGGGGGTCCAAAAAGCAACGCCGCACCCCCCGCTGGCCACGCCCCTTTTTTGGAGGCGGCCCCGAATTTGGGGGCGTGTTTTAGAGGGCAATTCGCAAAAGCGGCTACCGTAACCCGCCCGGTATCGTCGCGAACAACAACAACAAGCAGCTCAGGCTCGAGGGGGGTTGGGATAAGATGTTTCATCTGGTTGCATAGCCGAGAAAGTTTAGGGTTTTCCAGTAAGTCTTCCAGTTCGTCGCAAGTTCTGGTCGGAAATGTTTCTTAAGGCCCAATATTCAAATATAAGTAGTAGAAGTGTTTCTGAATGTTTTTTTTAACTATTGCTAAACGTAAAACTTTACAAATTTTTAGTAAAAAATGCGAAAATATAGTTTTTCGATCAATTTGGCCGATTTTGTACCAAAATGGCGACTTTTCTAAAAAAATTTTTAAAGTTCTTAGATAGTTTACTCCTTGAAATAGAGTTTTTTTACTAAAAGGACTAATAAAATAGTTCCTATTAACTTACTAGACATTTCTGAACTTGTATAAAGAAGTTCGGCACCCCCTCCCCTGATAACGCGAAAGAACCGAAAATCGTCCCCCCTCCGATAATGCCAAAGAACCGAAAAAAACCGGTTCCCCCGATAATGCAAAAGTTCCAAGTTAGCGAAATGACACTTTATTTCAAACATACGGTCCTCAAACGGTAGAAAGCTGAATTAGGGTAACTTTATGTTTCATTAAATGGCACAGTATGAAACATATTCCAGGCAATGATTCATAAAACAGAGTAGAGGAAAGTTCTAGCGGCTACCGTAATCCACTCGACGTCGTCGGCAACAACAACAACAACAAGCACAGCTCAAGCCTCTCTATTGGAATGGCCGCGGCAACCCGAAACCGGATTGCCCTCCACGGCTTTTGCTTGCCGGTATTTGGTAACAATTGGAGGTGGACCGAGCGGAGAGAGAGAGAGAGAGAGAGAGAGAGAAAGAGAGAGAAAGAGAGAGGGAGAGAGTGAGACAAACCTACAGACAGATAGATAGACTGGCGGATGGAAAGCGGACTATAACCGGATTTTCCGAAAGAGCACTATTCCGCTCCACTGCCAATGACAAACAGAATACTGGACGCCGCGGGCAAATTTCCCCCGAGTTCGCTTGTCTGCCACCCGAAAGTACAGAATTTGGCACACGAACAACACATTTCATGCTAGCAGGATCGCGGAATTTCGATGTTTCATCGAGCTGTATAGGTTGAAAAATATGGGAAATGTATTGTGATGATCGATGCTGCATTCAAAAACACTTTTCCTAACGCATCAAAATCATGCCTGCGCAGAATTTCAGACGAAAATGGAGAAATTGGCGGGCGTAAAACAGAATTCATGGTCGCTTGGATCACGTAATTTTATGTGTTATCATGTTGCATAACCCCAAACGTTTACGGCGGTATAATTTGATCATTTTCCAGACCTTTAAACAAAAAGTATGCAACTTACAAGGGAACCTCCAGTTGGCACGGTGGAGTTTCGAAAAACGCTCGCGGCTACCCCTAGGTTTTCGACTATCGCGATTCCAACGGTCTAGTCAGAATTTCCTAAATGGGCATCTGGACAGAGATACAGCACTTCCGGAAAATGATGATTTACATCCGAAAAATTAGCATTAGCGATAGGTTTATGAGGCTCTCTCATGACATAGGAATCACCAGTTGAGTGGCCGAGCGGTAAGCGACTCACTTGATAGGATGCTGACGAGGGTTCGAATCCGCTCACGATTTTTTTGTTTTGCTTTTTGACCGGAACTCCAAGTTTTGGTTACTTTTTTTCGAAAATTCGTTCTCTTTCTAAAACTTCTAAAAGCATCCAAGTAAATCATAGAGGTCCCTCTGTAAAAAAATGGAATATGGGTGGACCTAACTATTTTGAATTTCGAGAACGAGTTTTCAGGATTCTTAGGGGTAATCAGTCTGGGGCCATAACCAAAATTTTTTCCTATAGTAAAAATCAAAACTTGGAGTTGGGCAGCAAGTCCCGGTCAAAAAGCAAAATAAAAAAAATCGTGAGCGGATTCGAGCCCTCGTCAGCATCCTATCAAGTGAGTCGCTTACCGCTCGGCCACTCAACTGGTGATTCCTATGTCATGAGAGAGCCTCATAAACCTATCGCTAATGCTAATTTTTCGGATGTAAATCATCATTTTCCGGAAGTGCTGTATCTCTGTCCAGATGCCGATTTAGGAAATTCCGACTAGACCGTTGGAATCGCGATAGTCGAAAACCTAGGGGTAGCCGCGAGCGTTTTTCGAAACTCCACCGTGCCAACTGGAGGTTCCCTTGTTAGCGTGGGATTTCATGTTTGAATAGACCACGTAATTTCAATGTTTTATCCAGTTCTATAGCCCGCACAAAATTACGTTCGGGTTCTCCAATAAATTATTTAGCTTGCAATTTGCACTAATCAAAAATAAAAAGTGACAAATTTATATGTTTTGCCTAGTCGGATAAAACAAACAATTGTGAGCGAGCTAGTCTGTAGCGCTGCGTACCTCCAAATATAACACCAACCATCCCCTTTAAATTTCTGGATAATTTTAATGGGAAAGGCATTTTTCAATTAGAAAAATCGCGTTATTTTCAGAGTTTTATACGAAATGTAAAAGGCTTATCGGGAAAAACCCAAGATTTCATGCTAATTGGGTCGAGGAATTTAAAATGTTTCATCGAGTCCTTGAGGTCGAAAGTTTCGGGGATGATCATAACTTTAAGAGAGCGAGGTTAAAAAAATGTAATAAACGAAAATGTCTGAAAAAATGTCAACGTCAATGTGAATGTAAATGTAAAAAATCTACAAGCCGTCCCAGCCGAGAGCCGATAATTTAAAATGTTGCACAATATCATAAGTAAAAAATACCCCCGAAAAATTATAGATGACCTAGTTTAAAGGTGTACGTACCTTAAATAAAATTTCTTGCAAGCAGCAGAACTGCTGTATTTCCCCGATTTCCTATGTTTCGCAAAGTTGCCTAACTCGAAAAGTTCCGATTTCGTTGATAGATTGGTGAAATGTAATTACAATATAGGTTTTCCGATGGGTGCATGATCGCCGATTTTGGCGAATTCATGGGTTTCATCAAAATGCATTGCTTAAAAAAATTGGATTAGACATAGTTTCTTGTTGGGTATGTCGATTTGCATTTTTAAGGAATCGCGCAGCCGGTTGATTTCTAACAATTGGCTCTTATAAAAAATAAAGGAAAAATGAATCTGGTCTGCTCACGGTTTTGTCATCATTGACGCTAGATACAAGCAAAACTCGGCCAAAATTTCTATGGTAATTTCCGCAATCTCTTGCTTTTGTGGTTCTAAATTTGTATGTTAGCGAAATCTGGAAATTGAATAATGTTATCTTGTGAACATTGCTCCTCTCATCGCCACACTTTAGTTTTTACCACGAAACATCAAAAATTCGCGGCCATTAGGGTCATTAGGAGCAGACGGTCTGGGATGAAGCGGATCCCAGGAAATGTAAATATTTTAGTGCCGAAAATTGTGCGCGTGAACCGAACCCCACGAGGGTAGTAGTGGCGCAAGAAAATAGTAACGAAATAGGCAGATTCCAGAAGCTAGAAAAATGCCGACAATTAAATGTTAAAAGGCAATTAAGATAGAAAAAAAAAGGTTTTTTAGATGTGGATGAACAATATAAAAATGCGGTTCCGATCACCAAAAAAAAATAAAAGCTAGGGTTTATCACATAGTGCAGAAAAATATTTGATTGACAAAGAAAGGTATGTCCTGTTGTATTTAAATAATTAAAATAGATTAAATTGAGGATTCAAGACAACCGAAAATGAAAATCGTGGCTT